AACGGAAACATCTGTAATTGTATATGAAAATAAATATATCTTAAATAAAGTCCAAGAGTTACACTTTTGTCACATTTGTCATGTAGCCACATTTCTTTTCATTTTGGACTTTGTTTTGGAGAGATGTTGTTTCTGACAAATGTCTTCATGAAAATCCTCTTGGACTACTGACATAGCTGGCTATAAATTAGCAGATACTGCTGTTAAAGAGGCTTCAAGAATGGATTGATAATCGTATTAATTAACAGATACATTTTTTAATGAAAAGTTTCGTGACGAAAGGGCTTAGTATTTATATTTTTTTTTTAATTTAACGGTTTCCCAATTTCACGAGCATTCGATAATACCAAACCATACCTTATCTTTGAGTAAGACTTAACTGCTCGCCATATATAAAAGATGATAAAAATCTCCTGAAATCTTTCTTTGCGTTTGATATGGTTGGATTGAAAGGTAGCAAAGAGAACTGAATAGTAAAATAACAATTATAAATGCATATGTATAGTGCTAAAAAAAGTGCGAATTGTAATATACATATCACTTGAAGATAACTCCAGGAATTGCCATAATTTATATAAAAAATCGCTTTCTTGTAGTAAAAATGGTTATTATCGAGAGGGTATATCAATTGAATTGGTGAAATGGATAGTTTTTCACATGCTGTAAAAAACAAAAAATGAAAGCTTCTTATTGGTTGGGGTTCCTTAAATATTGTTTTAATTTCTTTACCATTTTGGCCTATGTATTGGTTATTGCAATCATCACAAGTCAGCAGGTATTTTCTACTATTTCATTAACTAGCTGTAAACAATGTCTTAAGGTGAGAAAGAACGTGACCAGAACTGTAGTACGAGTAGATTATGTCTGGTAAATAGAGATATCCTTTTCCTTCTCCTGTCGTTGCCGAATCCTTGCCTAATAATCGACAAAACTTGAATCCAATATGGCCAACAAAACAAAGTTTTGGAAAATGTCGTCATCAATAAGTAAGAAAATAAGAGAGGAAGACGTTTTAGCCAGATTACAGATGGTTAATTTACCGAGGGTCATGTGGTCGTTACAAATAGCACATGAACAGCTTCCAATGTACAAAGAGTGCAATGAAAATTCAACCACCGAAAGATTCAGCATTAGAACTGTAGACAGATTTGGTTAGTAAGATGTAATATAAGTTTGTCATATTAAAATGGACTCGAAACAGGTAAAACCGAAAAAAGGAAAAATCCGATACGGACAACAAGGAAAAGCGGAATGAGTACAATTAAAATCATATAATGAAATGATCAATCCTCACAAACTGTCAGTTTAAGTAGAGGGACAATCATGGCTCTTAGGGACCTCAGTAGCCAACTAGATACAGCAACAGAATAGGTTCTTAGACCTAATCATGTTTTCGATTCCCACCGTCGGCCCTGGAATTTTTGACCTGAACTACCGCAAAAAATTCATCTTAAAAAGCATGACGAAAAGCATGGTTTAAAAAAAGCATGAACCTTGGTAGTTCTGCCCATTAATTAATTTAAAAATTCCCTACTATAAGAGTACCACAAAGATTCTGGGTCTATATATCAGAATCGTGGACTTTTTCTAATTCCTTTCAGCTATATGAGAATCCAAAATGGACTAAAATGACAAAAAAAGAAGAGTAAAAACATTTCCTGCAATTTCAGAGGTAAATATCGTGGATATAATATTAAAATGTTTTTTACATTACAATATCATTGTCTACATAAGAAATAAAAGAACCAATAAAAAAAACTATATTCGCCAAATATGCAGAAACTAAAAAGAAATAAATCGAGTATAAGTTATAATCAAAAATCGAGTATAAGAATATCAGTTTAAGTTAAGTTGACAGGGATAAAGGGGAATTGTATTGAACAACAATTTTAAGGGCAATTTATTATTTATTCATTTTTCTACTCCGGTTTGAAATGTCCAACTTTGTAAAAGAATCATTTATAGTAACTTTCCCGGGAGGAAATCTAAACTTCCGATATATCATAGGGTTTTTCCTTTAATTATGTCTTTATGGGCTTTAAAGTAAAGATTTATGTTTTTTTTATTTACGAAAAGGTGGCCTGGGTTGGATGGCATATCGTCCTAACTGGCTGTACCATGTTAGTCTACAGGCCGTAATTATCGCTCTTAACTCACCCGAAAACGATTTAAGCCGATGTTCGGTCTATTCCTAGGAGAGAAGGAGCAATACATCACGCGTCCCTGAGAAGAAGATATGTCTGGACCAATTAGTGAAAAGCGGAAAGGGAGTAGCGGGGCATGTTTAAATCACTTATAACTGACTGTGTCGGCCCACCCACTGAACGTTTTGCCAAAGAATATAATATATCGCTGGATTAAAATCTGGGTGAAAATATAGAAGGGTCTTAATAAAACACAAGCATAAAATATAATGGTATGAACAGGATTTACAAAGATATTTTTAAGTAAAAAATTTTGCCAATTGGTTGTACCCTATTTATACACGTTTCTACTTTAGGAACGCTTAATTTTTTTTATTACATTTATTTGGTATTTACAACTACAAGTGATGTATTAAGTAAATATGTTCGTATATGTTGAATTATCATTTCAGGCTATTGAAGGAGAAGTTGTCCAGTAGGAACACACCTTCACACTGATATCTTGTTTAGTCTTCACACAATGAGAAGGTCTCGGGACCACTTTCGCTTCGTCTTGGAGGATTTTCAGGTAGGGTTGGAAGTCATAAATTTCGTACGAATAGATTAGTGTGTGTGTTCAGTGATTGAGGAAATTGCTTATATCGAGTTTTGATGAGTTCATGTAGAAGCGGGATAGGTTTTTATGGATAGTGTAATTTGAAATGTAAAAAGGAGCATTTATAATTTGACGGAGAATTTTAGATTAGATTGACTGGAGACGCTGGGAATTGGAATCCTTGGTTGAGCCCCATTGTCTTGTAACGTCGGTTTGTTTGCTGTCTTTTCAGTTTTGTATGGGGATTCCAAGTCAGTCGTTTATACATGAAAATTCCAAGGTAACGCACAAGGTCAGTGGTAGGCAAGGGAATTCCATTTATACTCCCCGTAGGACAGACATTTTTACGTAAGGTAAAATTGATCTGTGTGCTTTTTGTTAGGTTTACCTTTATTCTCAACTTTGTGAACGATATTGTTAATTCATTCATGTGTTGTTGTAATTGTTGAGTGATAATTAAGGGGTCGGAATTGCGCGTAAGAATCGCTGTATCATCAGCGAATGTGTGTGTCGAAATGTGAACGTGTGTAGGAATATCTGCAGTGTATATGGAAAATAGAAAAGGGCTATGCTTCCCTGAGGAACACCCGCCCTTATGCGTATATAAGGTGAGAATTCAGTTCCCTGACGGACTCGGCAAAATCGATCTGTCAGATGAGATCTCAGTATAAGATAGTACGTATGAGGGAGGAGGTTCCTCAGTTTCCAAAGCAAGCCCGAGTGCCAGACTCGATCGAAGGCCTGTTCTAAATCAAGAAAGACACCCAAGCAATGCTGGTTTTGTTCGAGGGAAGAGGCTATATTGTCAGCGATGTAATTGTTGAGTTGTCGAGTGAAATGTGCGAAACCCAAACTGATAATCTGGAATAATATTAGAATTTTCAATTATTGGCAGTAATCGTCGGAGAAGTAGTTTTTCTAGTATTTTGGCAAAGGAGACTAATGGGTCGATAGAAATTTGGAAGATCAGAAGGTTTATTTGGCTTATGAATCTTTTTAATTATAGAGAACTTCCATTGCAATGGAAAATATGTGGTCCTGAGTACAGCGTTGTATAGGTATGTTAAGTATAGTAAGCCTCTGTGGGGCAAATTTTGTAATATTTGTTTTGTAATTAGATCAGAACCTGGAGCTTTTCGTGAAGGTAGTTGTTTAATAGTGTGTCGTATGTCTGATGGAGTAAATGCTTTAGGAGGATAAGAGAGTTGCAAGCGGACATTCAAGTCGTGTTCCATGTTAAGCTGATGGTCATGATCAAGTATGTCATGGTGTGCAGTAAAAATTGTGGAAAGATGCTCTGAAAACAATTTAGCAATTTCGGAATTGAATTTTGCCCAAGCGTTGTTACTACGTATAGGAGGCGTGTAGTCCTTATATCGCATGATCTTACGGGTACAGTACCACAAAGACTTGTCTGTTTTGGAAAGTAGTATATTGTTTGTACATTTCAGCCCTAAGTTTGGCCAGTTCTTGTTTCAGCTTTCTCGCGAGTTGGTTCATCCGTCGATGATCACTCGGATATCTGCTACGCTGCCAGTATTGCAGTGCCGCTTTGCGCCCTATCGGGAGGGTGATCTGTCCTGTAAGTAATGTAGTCTTTGATAGTAAGAAAAGAGTTAGTTGTTAAGTGTGTCTCAGTAATTAGTGCTATGTCTATTCGTTTGTCATGGTAGCACTATGCCTAGTTCGTCTTTGTGGGAGCTCGAACCAAAACATTGTATAAATTCACTTTTTTCCACATCCTACATGCATTTGTTAAATTTAAACAATGTTTGTAAATCCCGGGCCCTGAAGATGATCTCAATAAAGATTGAAACGTTTGCACGATAAAGAAAATGTTTTTCCGAAACCTACATCCCACCAGACTGCATCTCACGATATCTGAATAATTATCGACTAACGGTCACTAATCACCACACATAAATTCATTATATTTAGTGGTCTACAAACCAAATTACTTCTTTCAATTTCTTAATATTTTTATGTAAGGTTTTTGTTGAAATGAAAAAGTGTCACGAGCGGGATTCAAATCCACTCGGACTTCATTTAAACCAAAATCTTACATAACAAATATCGAAGTCACGACAATTCAAGTGGTAGCGCAGCGACGTATTTAGCCGAAGGTTGTGGGTTCGAATCCTGCTCGTGACACTGACTATCTCAACCAAGGCCTTACATAAAAATGATAATTAATTAATTGATTTTTTTAATATTTTGTTTGTGTGAACAATAGCGAGTTCTTTCGTTAGAAAACTGGAACTGTTAAATTTAAAAAAACACATGTTTTATCAAAAGTATCATTATTGTTTTAATATTGGTGCGAATTTTTGAATAATACTAAAGGGAACTATTAATAAATCGTAGGAGTATGCGTCTAGGGGTTTCTATAGGCTGCATAGTGACTATTATTTTACAATGCCTGCCCATTTACTGCGAAGATAAGATAGATGATCATCCCGATTACTACAATTCGCCTTATTTCAGTGACCATCTGCATTACGCCTTCGACTTGTGTTCCAAAGATTATTCGGAGAAATTTGGTAAGCGATCATTGACCATATCTTGAATGATATAACATGAAAATAGCCTTCTTTCCTCAGATCCAAGCTTCGTATTGTTTTTAAAAAACGAACTCTTTTTAAACACTCATAGCGATGAAATCGTAAGTCATTGACCAATTTAAAAAAATATTATTTCGTCAAAATTCTTTGAAATTATCAATTTTACAGTGTGTCGTCGGTTGTACTTTGCGGACCCTTGGAGTCGTAAGTTCATGCTAAAAAACATAGGTTTTAAACATTGCTAGAAATCATCATTTTTATTTAACTTGAAACATAAATAGACAACGTTCATTAGAAGGCAAATAGCTACTAATGTGACAGATTCTTGGTGGATCCTCTTGTCGTGCTCTTTTTAGAGAGAAGAGAGAGAAATTGATGAGTTGGATCACCTCGGAAAAACGATGGCAGTCCTATAGGTACCTGAACAAGTTGGGCCGGAGGGAAACGAACGAGCAAACAAAGAAAGCTGGAACGTCACGCCCTCCAGACAGAACCACCGTGATCCGGCCCAGTGGTGCTCGATCAGTAAAGAAAGCAATAAAAGAACGTTACAGGGTCAATGGTCGTGATTGTTCTAGAAGTACTTGAGATTGAGCGGTTGCCCACCGATGGCCTGAAATCATGGAAGGGGCCTTTCAGTGCATCACACTAGTCGAGGAGTGTCATACCTTCTTTCCCTAACAGGGAGCGAGTAGGCATGGCACACGGCATAAAGGAAACGTGCGGGTTTTTCTATTTTTATAATGTAAATATTGTATATAATGATGCATGTATATAATGTATAGTATGTAATGTAGTGTAGAATTTGTCTGTATAAGTGTATAGTTGTGTGTTTGTGCGAATGAGTGAATAACTAATGTGAATCTTGGTAGACAGATTCATAAAACAGAAAAACCCTTTCACCTTCAGTGATTAGAACCGTGTCAACGACTTAACTTTGAGGCCACCTACGCCCCACTAAAACAAACAAATGAACGTTATTATTTATGAAAAGCTGAGTTTACGTTCCGGTGTGTAGGTAATGAAGCAACGAAGATCCAAAATATTTTAGTCGACACTGCAGATGTCTAACGGCAGCACCACTGGGTCTCTGTCGTTCAAGCTCCTCGTGCCAGAAATCACATTTAACCAATTTGCTTGTATATCTGTAGTTGCAGACTAAAAAACAAAAATAATAAACGAAAATTTATCATATCTAATAAATACATTTAATTGTTTACAGTTTAAGAAAGGAAACCTTCTAGACTTGAAACAGCTAAGTCAATGGTTAAGGTCCAATCTTAGAAAAGATTTGCCGAAAAGAGATGACTTTATAGGGTACTACATCACATTGGCGTCTTGGTGTTTCCCAGACGGTAAGACCGTTGTTTAATTGTTATTTTCTCATAAGTTTATTGTACGTTGTACATTTTTAACAAATGCACTATTAACTAGGATCATAAATGGAGAACAGCAAATGTCCATACAGACACAGAAAGTTATGTATAAAGATCTAAATGAAGTAAATTTTCAGGTTTTGCCACTACTTAGCAATTGCAGATCCATTGTTCTATAGGTTTTTCATTTCTCTTTTTAGTTTATGCCTCATATGCTCTCTTTCCAAGTAGGCTTTGAGATTATTCATTGAAGATGTCTTTAACTGAGTTTTAGAAACTCGTTTAATTGGTTAGTCACATTTTTGGAGTATCCAGAGGTGATTTTGGTAATTAAAAATATTTGTTTTCTATATTGTTAATAGCATGGTTTGAAGACCAAAGTTCCTTCATCCTGTTAATTGTGTTAAGCTCGCAATGATTCGTTAATTTTTTTTTCTGTCTCTCTCTATCTTCGTGTTCTCATTAGTAGTTTTTGTTATAAACTTTATAGATTATGTTTCGTTTGCGGGGAAATAGGAAAGGTGTATATGTTGTATGTCTGAGATGTCCAAGTCCAGTGAATGAATAGTACTGTTTCTCAATAAACGATTTTGTATAGTCTGAATTTTTTGATTTGCGTTGCGGAGAAGATCCACACTTTTTTGCCCATCGACCTAACCGCCATTCCTGAGAAATACCTCTTAATGTCGAAAGATCATTCATACTGGCTTGGAATCGATTTTTTTTTCTTTTTAATTTACAAAGAAATCATAAGACCCAGCAAAGGTATTTTTAGCTAGTTCATTTAGAGTTCGGTTTTTTCCCAATACACTTGATTTCCAGAAATTAAGGACGTCCTTTATTTAGGATTACGACCCCATAATGTCGAAAGAACAAACACACTGGCTGGGAATTGATCCTTTTTTTTAATCTACAGAGGAATAACAAGACCCAGCAAAGGTGTTTTTAGCTAGTTCATTTAAAGATCGGTTTTTTCCCAATACACTTGATTTCCAGAAATTAAAGACGTCCTTTGGTTAGGATTATGACCCCATAATGTCGAAAGAACAATCACATTGGCTGGGAATTGATCTTTCTTTTAATCTACAGAGGGATAACAAGACCCACCAATGGTGATTTAGCTAATTCATATAGTGCTATGTTTTTCCCCCAATAAACATGATTTTCAGAAACTAAAGACGTCCTTTATTTAGGATTTTAAATTTAAATTTCTTCGAACCCCACACTGGAATCAAAATAATAGAACTGAAGAGACGATGTATATCATGATGTCCCAATCAATATCACCCTCTGGTTCGTTGTCTGTTAGCTTCAGCTCTGACCGCGCTCAGAGTGAAAATATGTAAAAATTGTAATGTACCCCTGTTGCTCCAAAGACTGCTTCACAAAAAATGGCCCTCATTTACACATCATTACTACAACACTCCAGTCTAAAATCTATCGAACAATTTCTCTACTACCCTATTCACAGACCTAAAAATCCTATTTGTCCTCGGAACTGCATGTCGATCTACATGTTTACATAAAAATTTGGACACTCATCCCAAAGAGTTAGTCCAATACCTTTCGTCACCATTTCCGACAATCCTGCTACACGGTTACCTTTGACTAGTATGCCGTCGTGCTTATCCTTACCGGAAAAATATATTGAATTTATCATATGTTCTTCGATTAAATTATACAAAATTATTATCAGGCTAAGTTGGTTTGCTAAATTTCATTTTGTCATTTTAGCTCAAGGAAAAGATGACTGTGCCATTGGAAAATATTATTACAATTGTGTAACCAAGTTAATGGTATGTAATGTTTATTGGATGATCAATTTTTCATAAGCTTTTAAATATTTAACTTTTTTCAGCCGACCATGAAATTGCCATACGATCAGTGGTCACGCTGGGATCATAATCCTTTTGATGTCTTATAATAAAAAATACATATACGCCATCGCGCGGATTAAATTATCTTTGTTCCGTGTGTGTTTATTTTGTTAATGTTGTCGGAATTTTAGGTGACTAATGATATGGACAAACTTTACAATAAATAATCGGAATATTGTATTAATACATTTTTGTAATAAATTGTTTTATAATTTTTTGTCTAGTGACGTTGAAAAAATAATCTTCGAATTTTTTTATTAACTGAAAAGCTTTGTTGAGTGTAAAATTAGGTTGTCTAATTTTTTAGCAGTGTCAATAATAACATTATTTTCAATTAATTAAGGTTTTGGTCGAGATAAAAAACTTAGCTAAAATATAAAAACTACTTATTGATAAAACTGAGTTTACCATTTTGTTTAGCCTATAGCAAATGATAGTAGTTATTCATTTATCAATTCATTAATCTATATGTAAGGTATTGGTTTAGATAAAAAAATCAGTGTGACAAGCGGGAAACGAACCCACGAACTTCGGCTAAATACGCCGCTGCTCTACCACTTTAACTATCCTGACGTCGATCCACTCGGAAACTAACTTTCCATCTCAACCCCACCTTTTGAATTTTCCCTCCTTTTTTGCCATTTTTCGAATCCCGTTTGTGACACTGACATTTTCATCTCGACCAAAACTTTAATTGAAAATAATTTATTTGGTCAAGCGGACTACGAAACCTAATAAAATAAAAAAATAATATTTTATTATGTAAAAAGTAACGTAAAGCACTTCTTATAATAGAAAAAGGCATAACATTTAACTACAAGCTGGGTCTCAAAGATGAAAGGACCAACATTATAACACTTTTTTCATAACATCGCAAATAAAAATTCATGGGCTATGCCATAGGTTTCAAATCAAAAACCATCAGCGTGGCAAACCGTACTTGGACTCCCTGACCACTGTGCCACTCAGGTACTGACAATGAGTCTTATTTTTTATTTCAACTAAATCTCATAAATAGATTCAAAAGACGGAAGATATAACTAAATTAAATTGGGTCCACTTATAGAAAGTGATGTAATAAAAGATGTTTGGAGTACTAAATAAGATTTTAATTGCAAGAAAATCAAATCTGACAACTTACAAAAAAGGAAGAAAGCACAACTCAAAAAGTTTTGAAAAATGAATTTAAAAACTTTTTAAAATATTTTAACTTATTAAACATGTAATTGTAGGAAATAAAATATTTTAAAAAATGTGAAACTGACTGTTGGAAATATTATCCATGTATTTTTATGTTTATGAGTTCAAACATAAATTTATATATATTTTTTGCAACAGTAATAATATTACAAGTTGTATCTCTTTCCCAGGGTTGTGAAAATGTTCTAAAACTGTACAGGCCGATTGTGGAAAGTTAGTAGAAGGGGCGATCGTTTCTTTCCAAGTTTAAGAGGATCGATGCAGACCGTAAACTCAGAGCGAGTCCACTCGCTATAATCAACAGTTAAAATATGTTTACGGCCCAACCGAGGGGCATACTGTTCACAAATGCAGCTAGCCAATTTCCAAGGGCCTTAAATAATAATAAGCCACCGCTCTCGTTAGGACCATTGTGCAATACGCAACCGTCCCTTAGCGGCCTACGGTATGGAAGCGAATTTCTACCAAAACCCCTTTACTAACTCTACCAGGCACAATGACCCCCAACTTTCCTTTATTTGACTTATACAACTATGCAACACGTACTGTACACACTCGTGTTACATGTTGCAGAAAAGTAACTGTAATTACGATTAAAAACGGGAGATAAATATTTTATTTTACTCTGTATGCAGGGTGTCAATTTACAAATGCCCCTCTGATTTTTTTTTTCAAAAACTACCCTACCTACCAAAAGTATGTTTTTATTGCGTAAACTCTATTTTCAAAGAAATTATTCAAAATATTATAGTTTCTATATATATCATAACAGAAATAAATCAGAAGGATTATCTCAGGGAGAAAATTATTAAAAGTCAGCGTCTCACAAGGGGGCATTCTTGGTTCCATTCTGTGTAGAATTTGAACCAATGAATCTCCGATATATTCCATTAGCAATCATTATTAACACCTATGCGCTACGTACCGCAATAACGTCTTCTAATCTGAATGCTATCTTATCGACCTCTAACATCCAATAAGAAATGTTCCCTGTACTTTCTAAACAGGGACGTATCGACGTATTCGAATCAGATACGATATTCCTAGTCCTCCATGCTTTTATCCGCGATATCCTCAAAATCTTTCATTACGCTTGTGCACGCGCTGGTCGGTCGCAATAAAATTTGGTTAAATAAAATAAAAATACAAAATAAAATAAAATACAAAATAAATTAAAATACTAACTTGTTAACTGTGGCTGGATTTTCTTGACTACCAGGGAGGAGAGCCGTTTAATAGCTAGAACCTGCAATAACTCTAGCCAAAGATAAAACAGAATCCTAGTCTATTAATTACCTTCGGGGCTCCGTCCGAACCCTGCATGATGTGTCGCATTAAGGATGCGGGAGGAGACACTCGCGTTATTTTGAACGCGATAATTAACAAAACGAAAGAAAAAAATGCTTCTTGAAAATAAGAGAAAAACTGAAAGAAAACTAAAAGAAAATCACTCTTGGAGGCTAATTAACAGTGGACTGTATGGAAGCGAGACAGAAGCGAACAGGACTAGAGCAGGACTAGGCAGCAACAGGAACGGATTATGCAAAATAAACAATTATAATTCGCGATTTTTGGCGCGAACAACGCTTAATACTCACACGAGATTCACATAAAATTATTCACTCTCAGACAAATTGGCACCATTTCAACAACAATAATGGAAAGAGCATAGCTTGATTGAATTCCTGGATGTGATCTTGCACCCACGCATCTATTGGGTTGTCCGGAAAATAATGCAGGATTTTGGTATTAAACAAAAAAAAAGAAACTAGTTACTTTAAAGCAATGTTCTTTAATCAAAATAATTTCCCATACTCTCAATACATTTCTCCCAACGTGTTGGTAACTTATTAATTCCGTCTGAGTAGAATTCAGAATTTTTAGAATTGATAAAGTCAATAAATGCATTTTCCAGTTCCGTTTGATTTTTGAATATTATGTGTTGTAAGTAGTGGTCCAGGTGTCTAAAAAAATGGTAGTCAGTAGGCGAGAGGTCCGGAGAGTAGGGTGGGTGAGGCAAAGTTTCATAGCCAAGCTCCAATAATTTTTGTGACGTTACACGTGACACATGTGGTCGAGCGTTGTCATGCAACAAAATGGGCCCTTTCCGATTGACCAAAGAGGGCTTCATTACTGCCAATTTCTGATGCATGGTATTAATTTGGTTACAGTATGATTCAGCATTGATGGTTTCGCCAGGATTTAAGAAGCTGTAGTGTATTAAACCAAATGAAGCCCACCATACCGTAACCATTACCTTTTTTTGATGAGTTGGGGGCTTTGGAAAATGTATTGGAGCTTCTCCTTTGTCGAGCCACTGTCCAGAATCCACTTTTCGTCACATGTAACAATTCTGGCCAGAAATGGGTCATTTTTGTTTCGACAAAGAAGTGATGCACAAACATCAAAGCGCTGATTTTTTTGGCGATCGTTTAATGAGTGTGGAACCCAATTTTCGAGTTTTTTCACTTTTCCAATCGCCTTGAGGTGGTCAGCGACGGTCGTTTTACTGACTTTGAGTTGCTCTGCAAGTTCTCGAACAGTTGTTTTGGGGTTTTCTTCCACCACTGATCGCAGAACATCATCATTAAGAGAGGAAGGCCTTCCACGACCTTCTTCATCTTCAAGGCTGAAATCTCCCTCCCGAAATTTTTTAAACCACCTTTGCACAGTGCACTCATTAACACAACCCTCGCCCCAGACTTGGTTAATGTTTCTAGCCGTTTGGGCTCCGCTTCGGCCGAGTTTAAACTCGTAAAAGAAAATCGTACGAAATTCTCGCTTTGACATTATAAGGATGACTGAATTATTTCCAAGTAGCGGAATGCTACAGAGGTAAACAAACAATATCATTTGGAAGAGGATTAATAAGTGTTGACATTCATACAAATGAGTAATCCTGTAAACGTAAACAGAATATTTTATATAGATTTTTTTTAATGAAAACTTAAAATCCTGCATTATTTTCCGGACAACCCAATACAAACATTTCCTTCAACCAAATCCTTATCACATTATCCTAGACTCCTACTTAATTGAATGCTGCTTCAGAGTGAAGTGCATCAATCATATATACGATATCACGGCATTAAAGTCCAACCCTTCATAAGAGGTTGTTCTTATGCTAGTTCTTCCTAACTTCCTAAACACCCCAATATCAACATTGCCTTCTATGCTGATGATACTGCAATTTTATCTTCTAATCAGAATTCTATCCAAGTGACATCCAACATCTAAGAACACCTTGTGCTTATCAAAGACTGTTGCAAAAGTGGAATTCGTGAGAAGTGGCGGAGAGGAATGGATCGGTTGTGCCTACTCGAAATATGTAATGTACATGAACGGCGTCCTTTACCGAAGGCAGAATTCTCTAGGGGTGATTAGCAATTCCACTTTAAGGTCGTTACTCACTAGAACGTAACATACTAGGATCGTGTGACGCACGAAAAAAATCGCTCCGGTCACTACTATGCCCACTGCAACGGATGAACGTACGTTACGCATATGTAAAAACGTTTCGTAGCCGTCCAGCCTTCGCTGTCGTACATTTCTTGTTTAAAAAACGCGTCGTTTGTGAACTTTTGTTTTCGCATGAGGAGTGATTTTTGTTAAATAAAGTATGGCTATTAGAAAATTATTTATAGGAGAATCGGTCAGGATTGCCATTATTTTGGAAGAGAAAGAGGAAAACAAAACAACAACAAAAAAACACTAGACACTACTGGATTTACGAATCTCTACGAAATCAAGTAACAACAACTATTCTATTAGTTGTTCATCCTCCATTTTTATTACTACACAACACAATAAAACACAAACACAGATCTCTTCGTCAAATGCAAAGAACTTGTGTGGAACGGGACAGCAACGCAGTAGGCCGCACAATGGTCA